TTTTTTTTAACAACAACTCATATGAGCTTACATTTGTTTTTGCCATATATCATCACCTTTAAGCCTATAGATGACTAGTATATTTGTTGACCATCACATGCTCCTTAGTTGTAAGGATATCGTGACATCCATTGCCTATTGCTAATTAGCATCGTATCAAATTACAAGTCCTCATTATTGTTTAAGTCATGAGGTTCAAATTATAGCATATCTTTTTGTATTTTTCATTTAGGTTCAAATTGAATTAAAGCTCTTTATTTCATTTTCAAATTCATAAGTCCCTTCACTTGGTTCAAACCAAGTTCAAATGCATGTCCACAAGTCCTCTGTTTGAGTTCAAGTATCAAACTCAAGTTCACTTGAGTTCAAGCTTATTTGTATTCAAGTTTAAATTCAAATTAAGTGCATTTAATGTTCCTTCAATTTGCAAGTCCAAGTTCAAATAATGTCCTTTATAGTTCAAGTCCTTGCCTTATTTCAGATAAAATTTCGACAACCTCCCGATGTCTCACCCGTTTAGGGGAAAAACCAAGAGGCAGCCTACCCGTCACGTCAATAAAGACGTGCACGGTTGGTGTTTGTGAGACACCGCGACAGTGATTTTTTTTGTTTGTCATCCACCACGTCAATAAAGACGTGCATGAGTTTTTTTAAATCATTTATTTTGGAAAAAACTTTTTTTTGCCCCGCCGTGCTAAGAAAAGTACGCACACGAATTGCCCGCTTCATTGTAAGCACCGCACCAAGTTCCCTCCCACCACGCTAACAAAAGCGTGCATGGGTGGTCCCTTAGCGCGCTACGAACATCGAATGACTTTTTAGGGGGATTATCCACCTCGCCATAAGTACCGCAATGAACTCCCTCCCACCGTGCTAATAAAAGAGCACATGGGTGGTTATTCACCACGCTACGAGTGTCGAAACAAATTTTCCTAAATTTGTAAAATTATTTTCTTCTTTTTTCTTTTTTTTAACCTTCTTTTTTCTTTTTTCTTTTTTTTTAATCTTCCTCACTTTTTCTTTTCTTTTTTTTATTTTATTTTATTTACGTATGCATCATACATATAAATGTATTTGAAATATATATATAGGTAATGCATGCAAGCATTTATGCATATATACACTTATATTTACAATATAAATAAATGTTAGCATTAAATCACATTAATTAGTGTGAATGAACAAAAGTAAATAGTGGTTGAATACTTAAAAAGAAAAGGTTTTCATATATTAATTTGCTGTCAAAAAATCTGACTGGAGTTGGTTTGGGCTCGCTTATAGGTGGCGAGTGAAGAGAAATGGGAAATTTAAATGGGACTGAACTCTCTCCCCTTTTTTAATATAAACATACATGTACATGTACAAAAACTCATAACAATAGTTATGATGCTACCTCTACCAGCCTTGCTTAATGATACCATTCACAAAGATTTTGGAACCATGACCATTCATGCGGAAGAAAATTTGCTACTATAACCCCTTTTTTATGACAATAATAGCAATGATACTATTGACACTAGCAACCAAAGCTCATAATTAATTATAATAATGTCAGGGAAGAGATATTTAAATTTTCTTTTATGTAAAAAAAAGTAATAATAATAAAAAGTGAAACAGAAAACCTTAAATAAACACCACCTCTTCTCTGTTGAAAAGCTGTTGGTGGAGAATGATGTGGAAGGGGTTGTTGTTGGATTGTAGTGGAATGAAGGGCAAAGGTTCATGTGAAGGGTAGTAGCAGCTTTTATGAGAATGATATTATCAAAACATAGAAGCACGAGATGGAGTCCGGTACAGGTGAACTTTTTCATGCGAAAGAAAGCGGTTCAAGTGGAGTTGAAAGCTGCAGGAAGGAGTTTATATAAGCTTGGGATGCTATTCGTTACGACAAATCAGCTTGCAGTCGTACGATCGAGTTCAACCCACTGTCATGAGGTTGAGAGGCGGACGAAGCTATTTTTTTGTCGTCGGAGACGTTTGGACGTGGAGGTGTCGGACTGAGGCTGATGTTGGTTTTAGAGAGCAGGAGCTAGTTCGGCTGTTGCTTGAAATGGGCGGAGTAAATGTGAAGCAATTTGTGGAACTGGATTCGTGGGAGGTCTGGAAGGATTTGTGAACTGAAAGTTTTGGAACGGGTGCTGTAGTGGAGTTTGAAAACCAGTTGGAGAAGAAAAGTTGGGAGCGTATCTACAGAATAAAAAAAAAACAGACCTTTCTTCAAGGGAAGAATTGAATCTTAAACACACCCATTTCTCATTTTAGCATCTGCTCAAAGTCAGTTGTGTTAAGGTCGAAGTGTCGAAGAAAAGTCAAATATTGCTCTGTTCAGTTTCGCTTTAACGGCAATTCGACGCTCTCGAGATCAACCGTGACAGAGCTACAGAAGAACAACACGAGGTAACTGCATTTAATTAGAATTCGACCTTTCCTTATTTTGATGCTGGTTCCTTATTTAAATTTTATAAGATAATGGTCATTCTAATGATATATCAATTTGACATTAATTTAAGATGACATAACCGTGCCAAAAAAAAAAAAATTGACTTGTAATTGTTATCTTGTTTTGCATGTTAATTGTTCCATTTTGCGTGTTAATTGCTCCGTTTTGCGTGTCGATTTTGCTGAACATCAAAATGGGATAAATTGATAGTGAATTTAGGGTATTACCGATGTTCCGGTCGCAACGACGCAGTCCGTTTTGAGATCGGACGACGCCGATGCCTAATTCCTTCGTAACGCATATCTTCACATAATATTCGAATTGCCTTTGAACTTTGCGACGCCACCTCAAACGATCTAATTTGATCAAATAAAATGTAAACTCTTAATGTCGACGATGTTCCGGACGCAACGGCGCCATCCGTTTTGCAATCGGACATCATTTCGTCACCAACAAGGCTAATTTTCCTCATAACGCGTGCCTTTGCATCATATTTGGATCGCTTTTTAAATTTGCGACACCACATCAAACGATCCAATTTGATCAAATAAAATTTAGAATCTTAATGTCGACGACGTTCCGGACGTAATGGCGCCTTCCGTTTGTTGATCGAACATCATTTGGTCAGCCTCACGCCTTAATTTCAGGTGTCGGCTGTCGAGCACATTCTTAGTGAAATTGAGGTCTTCTCAAATTAGTAAAATTCCAACATATGGTTAAATTTGTGATTCTCCTCTTGGCATACATTTTGGCAAGACAAGTCTCCTCGGCATCTTCACATTCCCAAAGTTGTAGGTTCTCAATTGGCAAAGCTCATTCATATTATTCAACTCCCAAATTTTGTATCCACCTATATCTCGTAGTGATCCCAATTAGGACATTGATTAAAAGAGGGAAGAGAAAGCAAATGCCTGAACTTTCCAATCCTCCATAATATACCAAGCTCGATTCGTGTAGCAAATCATATCTTGAAGTATGAAAGACCCCTTCTTTTTACTACCGACTCGTCAAAGAAAGAATTTTTTTATCAAAACATCAAAATAACTCCTGATATCTTTTATAGTCTTTCTTTGAAAACCAAAAAGCTGGATGAGATCCAATGCAATCAACATTCGGGTTGAGTCATCTTTATCAAGTTTATGCTCTTTGGGGTGGTTGTAGGGGTCAACAAATGAATTTTCGGAGCCCACAATCATCAAGCTGATGAAACACTAACTAAACCAGGTAAAAAGTTAGACATGGTGAAGGAGCAAAAAATACATAAGATAATATCAAAGATTAGTTTAAAAAACTAATTTATCTATCTCACATCCATCTATACATTGCTTTTGCAGTAAGTCAATTCATTCATAGACCCAAAGAGTCTCACCTTCAACTTGCTTACCCAAAGAGTCTCACCTTCAACTTGCTTATAAAGTTCTCAAATATCTCAATCAAGTACCAAAATAGAAATTCTCTACCAATAGCATGATACCCAACAAATCGAAGTTTATACTGATGAAAACTATGGATGATAACCAGTGGATAGAAGAATCATTTCAAGATATTGTACACTCTTGAGAGGAAACCTCATAACATAGAGAAGCAAGAAACAACTGGTTGTTTCAAGATCTAATATTGAATCCAAATTTAGAGCAATAGCCCAAGAAATCTGCAAACTTCTGTGAATCAAAATCATTTTGGAAGATTTAAAACAAATGGGAAGTGCCAATGAAAATTTATTAGGACAACAAATCTACCATTAACAATGCTCATAACAATATGATTATACCAAGTATGTAGAGGTAAACATTTCATAAAAGAGAAACTGGAGAGTGCATTAATTTACATTTCATATATACCAACAAGAAATCAACTTGTCAATATATTAATCAAAGAATTCTACAACTCTACATTTAAGAATATTGTAAGCAAATTTGGAATCGTAAATTTTTGCCATCTAATTTATGAGGGAGTGTTGAAGACTGTGGGGTCCCACACCATGGGACCCACTACTGCATCTTCCTACATCCACACAATCCAATTTTCAGCCTAGGTAGAGGAGTCGTTTAGCCATTAGATCTTCTCCCTCTAACCTTGGATTATAATCCGTGTGCCCCTCCCTTGACCTCGCCATCAACACCCTTCTTTCAATTTTATTTATTTATTTTGTGTCAATTATCTTTACTTTTTTTTCATATGTAATATCCTTGGAGAAGCCTAAAAATACCTCTAATTTATGTACAGAAAGTAATCAATAAAATTCAAAATAATATTTAATATTTCTACTTTCCTTAGGCTACATTAAATAATGATGGTGTTGAATAATAATTGAATCTACGTTGATGAAATTTTTTTGAAATTTACCCTCGATGTTATGCTGAATAGCATTGTAGGATTAAGTCTACAATGCTATTCAGCATAAAAATAAAAAATAGATAGACGCAAATCCAATCACACGTAAGAAATAAGAAGTGAACCTGGTGCAATACACAAAAGGTGGAGGACTACTCTTTCCATGATTCATTTCAATGATCAGAAGACATTTGTATTAAATTTTTTGTCAATGTGTTTACAATACCTTTATGTCAATCTTCTCCAAATTCAGCACATTGTACAGCAGATGCCGGAATGCCTTAGGCTTGTGCAATATCAGATCAATAAAAATAATCTAGATAATATAGAAATGAATTCAATTAATAAAGAATACTGTAAAGACCATAGTTCTACTTCATTATTGTGAACGAAGAAAGGAATACAAAGTAACTAGTGTAAAAAGATAAAGAAGCTGAAATGAAGACTATGAAACAAAAGCTAGCTGCTACGAAATAAAAGATATATGCATGCTACAGTACAGGGTGTTGACAACATAGCCCCCCCCCCCAACCCAAAAAAAAAACGAAATAATTCATTCGTGGAGCCGCATGCTCCAATGAATACCCTTTTTTTCCAATAAAGAAGACTTTGTTTTTGGGATTTGGTCATACTTGCAACAAACGTTACTTACCATACACATGATAAAGTTAATCATAAAATATAGCAAAAATCACAAAGATAAATTGTTATTAATTATTTTCGTGGATGAGCGGCTTCACTATTAGAGACAGAATGTGCATTGAGTATATATGTAAAAAAGTTGGAGTAGCTCTAGTAGTAGATAAGATTAGAGAGAGTCACCTTAGATGGTTTGGTTACACATAAAATGTCGGCCTTCTGATGATCCAGTTAGGAGAATAGATGTATTATATTTGGCCTACGTTAAGAAAAGTAGAGGTAGACCTAAAAAGAGTTGGTAAGAAAGTATTAAAAACAACCTCTGTTCATTATATTTAAATAAGAATTTTACTCTTAAGACGCAATTGAGAAAAAAAGATTAATGTAGCCGACCACGTATAGTGGGATAAAGGCTTGATTTTATTGTTGTTGTTGGAGTGAAGATTGATAGAAAGTCTTAATCAAAGTGTTAACTCAGTGATAATATATTCATCATGTTAAATAGCCATAATACATCCTATTTTAATACAAATAGGAAGAGATGCTCACGATCAGAACTTCATCCGCTTACTGGCGGTAAGCATCAAACTTATCAGGTTCAAAAACCCTATATTAGAACATTTAGGTTAAACTAATTAATTTAAACCTAGCCCGTAGGCTACTTGAAATGCTCATTCATCCCATCAACCTAAGTATATCCTAATATTTCAGCTGAATGGTGTTATATTGATCTCTAAATGAACAAGAACAACAGGTAATACATCTTTGTGGATCACAGGCATTTCTGACATCTACAATTCAATGAGCAATTTTTTACCATCTCCTCATACCCCACGTAGTGGGATAAAGACTTCTTGTTCTTGTTGCTGCTGATGATGCATGCTAATATATTGCTTAGCTAATTTGTTTTATATGTTTTCGAACAAGTGCTATATTTGACAAAATGACATAAGTAAAAGAAGGCGGGCAACAAGATCTTAAAAGGAAGAGTGCATTGTTAAAAGAGATAACAATTGTCTCTTTCGAGTGATGTGCCCATTATACAACGGTGGACAGGCAATTACAAAATCAGACAAGTAAAAGAAGGCAGACAATAAGCTGTCAAAAGGATGATATGTCATTGCTCTTAAAGACAGCTATTTTTCCTCACCAGTAATGTACCTATTATGCACGTGTGTGCTCCGAAAAGTCACACATAGCTCTACTTAGGGCTGCAAACGAACCGAGCCAAGCCGAGCTTCAGCCGGCTCAAGTTCAAGCCCGTTTGCCAAAACTATGCTCAAGTTCTGTTCAAAACTCGTTGAGCTTCTTGGACGTTGTTCGAACTCGATCTCGTTTATAACACAGGTGTTCGAGTTCAGCTCGTGTTCGGATTGAGCTCGTTTAGATTCACGCTTATCGAGCGGCTCGGCTCCTCCGCACACAAGCACAAAATGATTTTTTTTTTAAATCAAATCCAACAGCTTGTTAACGAACGACAAAGCAACAGCCGATCCCGCCAGCCCGTTGTCCAGCAGCTGCTCTACACATGCCTTTATTTTTATATAACAATAAATTTTTACACCAGGAAATGTGGGACTAAACTCCACAACTTTTTTTTTTGGGTTGAGTGTGCATAATGAGCTTCTTTATCGAGCTTTTTAATGAACATGTTCACAAGCTCTAAATGATATTATTCGTGAACATAAACGAGCCGAACACGAGGTTGTTCAAGCTTGTTTATTTACCTATCGAGTATCTATCAAAGGTGTTCAAACTTATTTGTTTACCTTATTAAACGAACATAAACAAGCTTTTATCGAGCCGAGCCACGAGTAGCTTGTCGAACGCTCGGTTCATTTGCAACCCTAGCGCCTCTACAGAGAGTTTTGCATTCAGGACAAAATATTCATAAGTCATATTAGATTTGCAGATAAGCAACACGCAATGACTTCGCTCTTATTTCGCGGTGACTTTAAGATTTGACTCCAGCTTTCCCATAGGCGCAAGCCCCTATGATTAATTATCCCTCTCAATGATAAGAGAGAACATTCGATTAAAGCTAGTCATTAGTTAGATGATAAATGCTTAATATATTATAGCAATTGTTTTGATTTTAAGATTAAAGAAAACTTACTGTCGTCAGCTTAAAGTAAATGATGGGGAAAATGATGATGAACACAATTAAAATCTTATGATTCCATTGTCTAAGATCATCATAGATCTTAGTCAACTTAGTCAAAGGAGTAAGCCAACTCAACTTGATCAAATGTTTGTTTTAAGCAGTTATAAGTTGTGTCTTCAAAGGGAACTTTATAGACTTTTGGCAGATATTTGTCTAAAATAAATAAATTTAAGTTAATCTTAACTAATAGAGAGTTTTGTACCCATCAAATACACCCTATGATTCAAAACTCAAGAGATTTAGGTCATTATAGACCATACAAACTATAGCCATTACCATAAACTAACGACAACATTTACGGCAAAACCACCTGATCAAGGTGCCAAAATCATACTAGTTATTTAGTGGTTTCATATGGCGGCAAAACCACCCAGTTTGAGGACTCGTGTCAGATCCTTACAAGCATGAGATCTTCTGAGAGTGAACATAACAATACATTTGACATAACACTGGCTTCTTTAAGAAGAGGTTAATCATAAATTTATCATCCCTTAAACTACTGTAGAGGGTAGATGGATTATTATTTTTTGTTTTTAGGTAGTAGATTTCATTTAAGTATTTTGATTTTTTTCTCATTATATTATATTTTTGGTTCAATTTAAACCCAAAATAATTTGCATAAAGATTAAGGGCATTTCAAAAGATGTAGTACCCTTAGGGTGAAAATTTATGTCAATGCGATCATTATTGGAATATTTAAATTATTTTAATTTTGTTGTTTGAACTTGCTCAACTCTACCCACTTATAGAGAATCGAATTTAAAATTTAAATTTACGAGATACCATACGAACTGAGTGATTCCGGGAGTTTGTATTTTGTAATAAAATTTCTTCGTAAAAGGCATTTAAGGCATGCTAGGAATGTTAAACAAAACATATTATTGAATTTTGTAGTTATATACACGTTCATTGACTTAATTAAAATGAGAATAGAAGTTGAAATGGCTCCTTCATCGCAACTTGCTTAATATTTATTACACGAGCATCCATCCTGAAGGTTCAAACATAATCAACTCCAATCCTTGTGAGGAGTATCAGACTTGAAATGTGGGCATCACGACTTTGTCCACAAGCAGACGAGCCCACTTGAGAGAATACTTATCTGTTGGGAAATTTAACTTTAGAAGAAAGAGGTGACGAGATGAAAAATTATCAGACGCTTTTTGAGGCAATTGCACACTTCCTAAGGTGGCAAAGTTCATATTGATATTATTTTTAATCCACATGGCATTCTCATACATTAAATTCAAGTATTTAGCACATTTTTCAGAACGCATACGGATGTGAATTTTAAAATGATTGTAGATTTTATGGATCAACTACACATTTTGTGAAGCAACAAAATTTTATTTCAACTTATTTTTAGCTCACGCAACATTCTAATTTTAGATTTGGACGTTAGCATATTAATCATAGTACACATGAAAGAGTTTGATTTTCAACACTCATGCACACTTCTTGGTGCACTTGCATGATTTTTTGTGTTTGCATAGTACATTTGCAAGTTTTTCGATGTATTTGCTTGATACATTTAACTGGTGTGAAACTACTAGGAGTTACGATTAAAATTAAAAAGAGAATTGTTTAAGTTTGCTATTATAAGTTTATTCCGATCATGCAAGATAGGGTTAAGAATGAGAAACGTTAACTTGCTTAGGCCAAAGATTTGCAATAGAGATTAACCGAATCAATTCATTCAAAATTCAAGGAGAATTTAAATGCAAAGTACAATTAACAAAAACCCAACGTTTAACAACGAGAATTTCACCTCGTGGCCGTCTCACTCAAATCTTGGTAGGTTTTTAGCGGAGATAGAAGATCCAAGCGATGAAGGATATTACCACTAGAGAGAAGGCACCGAAGAACTTCGTCGGAGGAAAGGTAGCCGGTGGGGATGGATGTCGTAGGTGGCCGTCGAGACTCCAGTTGTAATTTGAAAATCGTCGGTCGAAGATGCTTGCAAGGATCGGGACGACTCTCTCCAAATATTCTTCCACGGTGGTCTCGTCTTCAAATCCTACGTCGAAGCATGGAGATCGTAGGATGTTGATGCTTCCATCAGCGTTGAACACAAGACCCCACTCAAGTTCGGGATCGGCCATGCGTCATTGAAATGGAGATGAAGACTTCGCCTTCGTTCCCTCTTGGACTCTTGATTCAAGAGGCGAGAGAGAGGTGTTCGGCGGGATTTTCAAGGAGTGGGAGAAGTTTCGGCCAAGTGGGAGAGAGGGGCGGGTGGGGAAAAATTAGAAGAGTTAGGTTAGATGAGGTGGCAAGTGATTTACAAAAATCTGGAATTAATTCTCAGATTTTAGTATGATTGAGGGAATAATTTGAAAAGCAGATTTCAAATTCCAAAAGTAATTAAGGGGGGTTTAATGGGTAATCAAGAGGGGCCCATATAGGTGGCTGGCGGCTTAATGAGGGAGAGAGAGGGGGTTTCTAAAGTTAAAACTGAAATTCAGTTTTAAGAGAATTGGGAGGGAAATTTTGAAATCCAATTGAATTCTAAA